ATGAGATAGAAATAAAACCACTTCTGTCCAAAAGACTGTAAGGGAAATTATCTAAAATCTTAGCATTAAGTGGAAAGGTTTTTTAAAAAGTCCTCAGAACATTTATAGCCACAGGCCTACCATCACGTTTCTCTTCAGCCTCAAATCCCATCTCCCAAGTATTATGGATTATCAAGACTATGGATATCAGTAGTAAAAATCCCTTATGGATATCAGTAGTCAAAAATCCCTAAATCAAATCCCTTATGACTGTACAGTGGAAGTGACAAACAGACTCAAGGGATTAGATCTGATAGGGTGCCTGAAGAACTATGGACAGAGGTTCATGACATTGTACAGGAGGCAGTGACCAAGACCATCCCCAAGAAAAAGAAATGCAAAAAGGCAAAATGGTTATCTGAGGAGGCCTTACAAATAGCTGAGAAAAGAAGAGAAGCTAAAGGCAAAGGAGAAAAGGAAAGATATACCCATCTGAATGCAGAGTTACAAAGAATAGCAAGGAGAGATAAGAATGCCTTCCTCACCGATCAATGCAAAGAAATAGATGAAAACAATAGAATGGGAAAGACTAGAGATTTTTTCAAGAAAATTAGAGATACCAAGGGAACATTTCATGCAAAGATGGGCTCAATAAAGAACAGAAAATGTATGGACCTAACAGAAGCAGAAGATATTAAGAAGAGGTGGCAAGAATACACAGAAGAACTATACAAAAAAGATCTCCATGACCCATATAACCACAATGGTGTGATCACTCACCCAGAGCCAGACATTCTGGAATGTGAAGTCAAGCGGGCCTTAAGAAGCATAACTATGAACAAAGCTAGTGGAAGCAATGGAATTCCAGTGAAGCTATTTCAAATTCTAAAAGATAATGCTGTGAAAGTGCTGCACTCAATATGCCAGCAAATTTGGAAAACTCAGCAGTGGCCACAGGACTTGAAAAGGTCAATGATTCCAATCCCAAAGAAAGGCAATACCAAAGAATGCTCAAACTGCTGCACAACTGCGCTCATCTCACACACTAACAAAGTAATACTCAAAATTGTCCAAGCCAGGCTTTAACAGTATGTGAACTGTGAACTTCCAGATGTTCAAGCTGGTTTTAGAAAAGGCAGAGGAACCAGAGATCAAATTGCCAATATCCATTGGATCATCCAAAAAGCAAGAAAGTTCCAGAAAAACATTTATTTCTGCTTTATTGACTACACTTAAGACTTTAACTGTGTGGATCACAAACTGTGGGAAATTCTTAAAGAGACAGGAATATCAGATCACCTTACCTGCCTCCTGAGAAATCTGTTTGCAGATCAGGAAGCAACTTAGAACTGGACATGGAACAACAGACTGGTTCCAAACTGGGAAAGGAGTACATCAAGGTTGTATATTGTCACCCTGCTTATTTAACTTATATGCAGAGTACATCATGCAAAATGCCAGTCTGAATGAAGCACAAGCTGAAATCAGGCTTGCTAGGAGAAAAACCAATAATCTCAGATATGCAGATGACACCACCCTTATGGCAGAAAACAAAGAGGAACTAAAGAGCTTCCCGATGAAAGTGAAAGAGGAGAGTGAAAAAAGTGGCTTCAAATTCAACATTCAGAAAACTAAGATCATGGCATCTGGTCCCATCACTTCATGGCAAATAGATGGGGAAACAATGGAGACAGTGACAGACTTTATTTTCTTGGGCTGCAAAATCACTGCAGATGGTGACTGCACCCATGAAATTACAAGACACTTGCTCCTTGGAAGAAAAGCTATGACCAACCTAGACAGCATATTAGAAAGTAGAGACATTACTTTGTCAACAATGGTCCATCTAGTCAAAGCTATGGTTTTTCCAGTAGTCACGTATGGATGTGAGAGTTGGACTATAAAGAAAGCTGAGCATTGAAGAATTGATGCTTTTGAACTGTGGTGTTGGAGAAGACTCTTGATAGTCCCTTGGACAGCGAGAAGAACAAACCAGTCAATCCTAAAGGAAATCAGTCCTGAATACTCATTGGAAGGACTGATGCTGAAGCTGAAACTCCAATACTTTGGCCACCTGATTGATGTGAAAAACTGACTCATTTGAAAATACCCTGATGCTGACAAAGACTGAAGGCAGGAATAGAAGGGGACAATGAAGGATGAGATGGTTGGATGGCATCACCGACTCAATGAACATGAGTTTCAGCAGGCTTTGGATGTTGGTGATGGACAGGGAAGCCTGGTGTGCTACAGTCCATGGAATCACAAAGAGTCAGACATGACTGAGTGACTGAACTGAATTGAACTCAACCGATGGATATCAGGATTATGCTAGCTTCCTGAAAATCCTTTGGAAGCATCTTTCCCTTTGCTTATGCTCTGGAACACAAGTAACACATCTGAAGTAGTACGAAGAAAGCTCAGGGCCCCATAATGAAAGATTAAAAGATATAAAAGCAATGAAAATACGATGCACAACAGGAAATATGCTGGGACACCTGGGAATAAATCTGTCAAACCTACAAACAAAGTTGGGCTAAACAGTAGAGTTTACCTACCAAAAAACAGAATATTCTCAGATTGGACCACAAATGGCTAAATTTGTTCTCAGATTAATATATAACCCAAAATACATCTATAAATAAACCAGGAATGGTGAGATTAATTATTTACACAGTCAACTAAAGAAGTTAGAAGAAATATAAAAGCAATTGGAAGGACTTTAATGAAATAAAAGCACAAATCAATGAATCAGAAAATGGGAAAATTATATAAAAGCAAGAAGTAGTCTTGGGTAAGGGGCAAAAAACTAATAAAGCATTAGCATTAGTTTACCTAAAAGAAACCACAAATACATTCTATGAGAAATGGTACTAGAGAAATAGCCACATATTGAGAGAAAATTAAGTGAATCATAGGAGACTACTCAAAATTTCACAAATATATTAAGAACTTTGAGTAAATGGATTATTTTTATGAAAATGGCAAGGACTACACATATATGTTAATATATATCAATATAATATAAATACATATATAATCTAAACAGAGAAAAGATGACAGAAGAAAAAGATGACAAAGAGATATCCTTCAAATAATGCATCATGCTAAAATATATTCATAGGAGAGTTCTACAAAACCTTTCAACATTGAATAACATCAAAGCAATGTTAATTGTTCATGACATGTTTATTCTGTTAAGGAGGCTGAGATATTTGAGAGTAAACAAATCCATTCTCTATTTACTGTATTGAAAACACTCTGAGGGCCTGGACAGATCATTCTGTGGAGGGATAATCAGATATACTTAGGAATGTTTAGGTCTATTCTACAGTTAAGGAGGTACCACACCTTTTTACATCCAACATACCCATAGGATTTCTGTTCAGTGTGAGTTTTCCCTTGCACAATGAGGTCTGACCTCTGCGGAAAAATAATCTTCCTACAATCACTATGCATATAAGGTTTCTATCTTACATGAATTCTGATGTCCAGTGAGGTATATCTGCTGGCAGAAGACCTTCCCATAGTCACTGTATTTGGAGTGTCTCTCCCCTGTGTGCGTTCTCTGGTATGTGATCATCTGTGATTTCTGGGAAAAAGTTATCCCATACTCAGCAGATTTGGAAGGTTTCTCCCTAGTATGGATTCTCTGATGTACAACTAGTGGAGACTTCTCACAGAAGGCCTTTCCACATTCATTAGATTCATATGGCTTCTCTCCAGTATGAGCTCTCTGATGTAAAATAAGATGTGACTTCAGGGAAAAGATCCCCCCACACACTCAGTACACTCATAGGGCTTCTCCCCTGTGTGAATTCTCTGATGAATAATGAGGGGTGCTTTCTGGGAAAACGTTTTGCCACATTCACTACACTCATACAGTTTCTCTCCTGTATGAATTTTCTGGCATATAATAAGAGGTGACTTCTGAGAGAAGGCTTTTCCACATTCTGTACATGCATAAGGTTTCTCTCCAGTATGAAGCCTTTGGTGTCAAGAGAGGTGTGACTTCTGGGAAAAAGCCTTCCCACAGTCAGTACATATATAAGGTTTCTCTTCTGTATGAATTCTTCAGTGTCCTATTAGGCGGGACTGCTGGCCAAAAGTTTTCCCATATTCACTGCGCTTACAGGGTTTCTCTCCAGTATGCATTCTCTGATGGATGACAAGCAGTTTTCCGAGGGAAGATCTTCCCACATTCAGTACTTTCATAGGGTTTCTCCTCAGTATGAGTTATCTAGTGTATAAAAAGGTGAGATTTCTCACAGAAGGCTTTACCACACTCACTGAATCCAAAGGGCTTCTCTCTGGTATGAACTCACTGATGTATAATGGGATGTGTCTTCTGGGAGGCCTTTTGACACTCCAAATGTTCATAAGGTTTCTCTCCAGTGTGGACTCTCTGATGAACAATGAAGAGTGACTTCTGGGAGAAGGCCCTCCCACACTCAGCACATTCATAGGATATCTCCCCAGTGTGAATCCTCTGATGCACGATGAGGTGTGATTTCTCACTGAAAGCTTTTCCACAATCTCCACATACATACAGTTTCTCTGCAGTATGAACTCTTTGATGTGTAACAAGCTGTAACTTCTTAATAAAGCCCTTCCCACACACACTGCAAACATTGTGTTTCTCCCCAATTTGAACTTACACTGAATATGGGTTTGCTTATGATTTATAACTTTTTCACGTTAACTTTGTGCATGGGATTTCATTCCAATGTGAATTTTCTCAGGCACGGAACAGGAATAGCTATAGCTAGCTGGTTTCCCACATCCAAATCTCTCAATGGGGTTCTTTCTTATATAGCTCCTATTACAAGTCAGTGAGTCTAAATTAGATTTCAAGCTCTTTTCACATGAATAAAGTGATGGAGTGTTTTACTTGAAGGATCAAAGTCTATGCATCCACTGAATATTTTTCTGAATACATTACATTTAGGGCCTCTCTTCTTGGTCATTGTTTCATGGCTGAAGATTGTCATCTGCCTCAAAACCCTGCCTTGGTTTCCTTGTTATCTATCTAGCTGACCATCAATATACCAGACTTTAAAGACAGAGTACAATGAATTATCCTTTGGGGCTCTTTCCAGTATCTCCATTTGAACTGAAAGTTCCCCAGAAATGATCTGCTGACAAGAATCAGAGCTCTTTTCTTTACCTGAAAGAAGACAAAGGTAAAATAAAATAGACACCAAAAAGAAAACAGGAATGAACAGATGTTCTAAGGAGGCTGATGGGTATTAAAAAGGAGAACTGACAAATTTTAAGTAAGAAAGGAAGCCACTCATGTCAGGGAAGAAGAAAATGTTCTATAAGCCATTTCCCCAATTCTCACTTACCTGAATAGGTCCACCTTGACAACTCACTCTCTATAATCCATGGGTCCTTTCCATGTTCCAACTTGGACATTATGTCTAGTTTTAAATCTGAACACCCTGTTAAGGAAAAATTACAATTGCCTTGGTCTTGGCAGCTCAGAAACTCATGAAGAGAAAAAAGGGAACTCCCAGCAAAGATGAATCTTCAACTCACAAAAATCAATTCCAGATATAGCAAAAATATAAACATAAAAACCTGAAATGATAAAACATCCTGTTTGTAAAAAATCATAAAGGTCTGAACACTTCTGAAAGATGAAGAGGATTTGATTCTTTGTTATACAGAGAGTTTTCCCTTACCCACAGATACCAGGTGGCTGTAGATCTCCAGCATTACATCCCTGCGTAGGGTCTTCTGACCTACTCCTCCTGGGTGTTGCCAGGGAGCTGCTGCCACTCCTCCTGGGTGAAGTCCACAGCCACATCCTCAAATGTCACTGGTTCCTGTAACAGCATATTCTTGTACAATCTGCTCGTTCTGATCATTTTTACCACAGCAATACCTGTAGGATGCCTACTTTGTACTTTGTGTAGCACATTTAATGAGAAAAAGAATGTGAAACTCTGACATTAGCAAGAATAGTTAGTAGGACAGAGTAGAGAGCCTAAGCTGCTGCTACTGCTGCCACTAAGTCGCTTCAGTTGTGTCCGACTCTGAGCGACCCCATAGATGGCAGCCCACCAGGCTCCTCTGTCCCTGGGATTCTCCAGGCAAGAATACTGGAGTGGGTTGCCATTTCCTTCTCCAACGCATGCATGCATGCTAAGTCGCTTCAGTCTTGTCCGACTCTGTGCGACCCTATGGACAGCAGCCCATCGCACTCCTCTGTCCACAGGATTCTCTAGGCAAGAATACTGGAGTGGGTTGCCATTTCCTTCTCCAAGAGAGCCTAAAAATAGATGCAAATAAAAGTGGAAAATTTAATACATAATAAAGGTGGCACTTCAAATAAGTATAGAAAAGATAAATTACTCAAAACTGGGTAGTTATCAGGAAGAAATGTAAAGTTGAATTCTCTATTTCATTCTGTACACATAAAAAAAATTAGATCTAACAAAAATTTAAACAAAGAAAAAGAGATGCCATAAAATAAAGACAGGAAAGATGAATTTGCTTTAAAAAAAATAATTTTAGAGTGGAGAAGACTCTTCTAACAGAGCATGCTACAAAACACAGGTGCCACAAAGGAAAACTGGTAAATTTGACTACTTTCTATACTGCATGGCAAAATATATCATAACTCAAAGAACAAGCAATGAACTGGAGAGAAGATGTAGGCACAACACACAGGATGGACAAAAAGTTAATGTCCTCAATTGAGCAAAAGAGAGCTCCTACAAAGCAAAAATAAAAAGACCAACAACTTAACTTAAAAAAAAATAGTCAAAGGACATGACTATCAATTCACAGAAAAGAGAATACAAATGGATTTTAAGCATGTAAAATGATGCTCAGCATTATTTGCATGAAAAAAAAGGAAATTAAAATAAGACATCACATTTCCTTTATACTTTATTGAAGATTGAAGTTTGATAAGTCACTGAGTTGGTGAAAATGTCAAGCACACTCAAATTGTGGGTATATGCTAGTACAATATATTTTAAGGGCAATTAATTTGGCAATATTCATCATAATTCTACATGTACATATCCTCTGACTAGCAATTCCATTTCTAGAAATTATTCTATATAAATACTCATATACGTGAGCAAAATAGCACATATGAAGATATTTCACTATAGCACTGTTTATAATAGCAAAAGTATGTAAACAGCCTCATGGGGGATTGGATGAATCAATTATGCTTCAATCCCCATGAGGAAATGCCATATGGAGTCATAAAAAACAGTAAGGAAGCTCTACATAGATTCACATGCAACAATCTCTAAAATACATTGTGAAGTGAAAAACGAATTCATCTACTCAACAAGCAGTTACTGACCACCTGTTGAATACCAGGCAATGTCTAAGGACTGGGGATACAATAGGAAAGAAACCTGGTTAAAATACCTTCCCTCGAAGATCTTGCGTTCTAGTGAGAACCAACAAAAAGGCTGAGGATAAATCCCCACCTAGCCAGAAAAAAGTTTTAATGTGTACTTCAAATTCATATTACTCGTACACAAAAAGCTGTTAGAAAGCAATAAGCAAAAGACAAAGAAGGAAATGGAAGATTTACAGAGAAACACAAAATGGCGAATACATGAGTGAAAAGATGCTGATGCTCATTTAATCATTAAAGAAAAGCAGATGAAAAGAAGATATAATGTTCAACCATAAAAACAACAAGCATGAAAAACACTGGTGCTATCTGGTAGTGGAGAAAATATTGGGAAGTGGTCCTCCTTGTAAATGATTTGTAGCTACATGTAGAAGCTGAATATACAATATCAAAATAGAATTTAAGAAACACTCTTTCAGTTCAGTTCAGTCACTCAGTCGTGTCAGACTCTTTGTGACCCAGCAAAGAATACACCAGGCCTCCCTGTCCATCACCAACTCCCGGAGTTTACTCAAACTCATGTCCATCAAGTCGGTGATGCCATCCAGCCATCTCATCTTCTGTCGTCCCCTTCTCCTCCTGCCCCCAATCCCTCTCAGCATCAGGGTCTTTTCCAATGAGTCAACTCTTCGCATGACGTGACCAAAGTATTGGAGTTTCAGCTTCAGCATCAGTCCTTCCAATGAACACCCAGGACTGATCTCCTTTAGGTTGGACTGGTTGGATCTCCTTGCAGTCCAAGGGACTCTCAAGAGTTTTTCCCTTCAAGACCACAGACCCCGAACTTCTGTGCATGGATCCTTTAGGTTAAACCCAACTTCTCTAGATTACCTCTTCTTCTCATTTTCTGTTTACTCACAGTTTTATCGTAATGTTTTGTAATAAATAATTCATTGTCTTTCTCAAAAAAAAAAAAGAGTCTTCTCCAACACCACAGTTCAAAAGCATCAATTTTTTGGCACTCAGCTTTTTTCACAGTCCAACTCTCACATTCATACATGACCACTGGAAAAACCATAGCCTTGACTAGACAGACCTTTGTGGCAAAGTAATGTCTCTGCTTTTTATTTATTTTTTTTAATGTCTCTGCTTTTTAATATGCTATCTAGGTTGGTCATAACTTTCCTTCCAAGGAGTAAGCATCTTTTAATTTCATGACTGCAGTCATCATCTGCAGTGATTTTGGAACCTGAAAAAATAAAGTCTGACACTGTCTCCACTGTTTCCCCATCTATTTCCCATGAAGTGATAGGACCGATGCCATGATCTTAGTTTTCTGAAGGTTGAGCTTTAAGCCAACTTTTTCACTCTTCTCTTTCACTGTCATCAAGAGGCTTTTTAGTTCCTCTTCACTTTCTGCCATAAGGGTGGTGTCATCTGCATATCTGAGGTTATTGATATTTCTCCCAGCAATCTTGATTCCAGCTTGTGCTTCTTCCAGCCCAGCGTTTCTCATGATGTCCTCTGCATATAAGTTAAATAAGCAGGGTGACAATATACAGCCTTGACATACTCCTTTTCCTATTTGGAACCAGTCTGTTGTTCCATGTCCAGTTCTAACTGTTGCTTCCTGACCTGCATACAGATTTCTCAAGAGGCAGGTCAGGTGGTCTGGTATTCCCATCTCTTTCAGAATTTTCCACAGTTTATTGTGATCCACAAGGCATAGTCAATAAAATGAAGAAATAGATGTTTTTCTGGAACTCTCTTGCTTTTTTGATTACCCAGCAGATATTGGCAATTTGATCTTTGGTTCCTCTGCCTTTTCTAAAACCAGCTTGAACATCTGGAAGTTCTCAGTTCACGTATTGCTGAAACCTGGCATGGAGAATTTTGAACATTACTTTACTAGTGTGTGAGATAAGTGCAATCATGTGGTAGTTTGAGCATTCTTTGGCATTGACTTTCTTTGGGATTGGAATGAAAACTGACCTTTTCCAGTCCTGTGGCCACAGCTGAGTTTTCCAAATTTGCTGGCATATTGAGTGCAGCACTTTCACAGCATTTCAGGATTTGAAATAGCTCAACTGGAATTCCATCACTTCCACTAGCTTTGTTCGTAGTGATGCTTCCTAAGGCCCACTTGACTTCACATTCCAGGATGTCTGGCTCTGGGTGAGTGATCACACCATCGTGATTCTCTGGGTCATGAAAATCTTTTTTGTACAGTTCTTCTGTGTATTCTTGCCACCTCTTCTTAATATCTTCTGATTCTGGTAGGTCCATACCATTTCTATCCTTTATTGAGCCCATCTTTGCATGAAATGTTCCCTTGGTATCTCTAATTTTCTTGAAGAGATCTCTAGTCTTTCCCATTCTGTTGTTTTCCTCTATTTCTTTGCATTGATCGCCGAGGAAGGCTTTCTTATCTCTCCTTGCTATTCTTTGGAACTCTGCATTCAAATGGGAACATCTTTCCTTTTCTCCTTTGCTTTTTGCTTCTCTTCTTTTTACAGCTATTTGTAAGGCCTCCTCACACAACCATTTTGCCTTTTTGCATTTCTTTTCCATGGGGATGGTCTTGATCCCTGTCTCTTGTACAATGTCACAAACCTCCATCCATAGTTCATCAGGCACTCTGTCTGTCAGATCTAGTCCCTTAAATCTATTTCTCACTTCCACTGTATAGTCATAAGGGATTTGATTTAGGTCATACCTGAATGGTCTAGTGGTTTTCCCTACTTTCTTCAGTTTAAGTCTGAATTTGGCAATAAGGAGTTCATGATCTGAGCCACAGTCAGCTCCCGGTCTTGTTTTTGCTGACTCTATAGAGCTTCTCCATCTTTGGCTGCAAAGAATATAATCAATCTGATGTCAGTGTTGACCATCTGGTGATGTCCATGTGTAGAGTCTTCTCTTGTGTTGTTGGAAGAGGATGTTTGCTATGCCCAGTGCGTTTTCTTGGCAAAACTCTATTAGCCTTTGCCCTGCTTCATTCTGTACTCCAAGGCCAAATTTGCCTGTTACTCCAGGTGTTTCTTGACTTCCTACTTTTGCATTCAAGTCCCCTATAATGAAAAGGACATCTTTTTTGGGTGTTAGTTCTAAAAGGTCTTGTAGGTCTTCATAGAACCATTCAACTTCAGCTTCTTCAGCGTTACTGGTTGGGGCATAAGCTTGGATGACCGTGATATTGAATGGTTTGCCTTGGAAATGAACAGAGATCATTCTGTCATTTTTGAGATTGCATCCAAGTACTGCATTTCGGACTCTTTTGTTGACTATGATGGCTACTCCATTTCTTCTAAGGGATTCCTGCCCACGGTAGTAGATATAATGGTCATCTGAGTTAAATTCACCCATTCCAGTCCATTTTAGTTCACTGATTCCT